ACAGATGATCAAGATGAAGGTGATGCTATAGGTTGCCTATACACATTGAATCACTTACGAACACTTGACGGTGATAATCAACAAAATTGGACAACATTTAAACGGTTATTTTTGAATGATGATGAGACTAGTTGGCTATCATCCCCATGGGGTGAACAAGTAGCAAACTGTTCAGTGTCGGAATTTGCTGATAGTCTTTCATCATTAGGCACAATGTTAAAAAATATGCAAGATATAATGGAAAAACCGGACTTCGATGGAATAATTACCACCAATATAAGTCAAAATGAATTTACTGGTGCACAGAATATTCTGAACGATTTAATTCAACCGTCAAATATGGTTCACAATGGTCTAATGACCTCTTGGTTACCAATGTCCACCTGTTCACATTTCAATGCCTTACCAATGGGTATGTCACCCAATGTTCGTTCATCATTTCAACATCGTTCAGTACTTGCTGATCATCCAACTGGACCGATGAATAATGTTTTGCAAGGTCGTTCATTACCATCAGCAATAGACTCATCAACACGACAAACATTTAATCAATACAGTAAACGTGCTTCAGACACCTTCTTGAATTTATTACGCGCAGCTCCAAATTACGATATAACATTGAACGATTTAGTCAAATATTATGATAGACCACAGTCAACGGCGCAGGTATATCCTTTTCTCTTTTAATTGTTGTGGGTGATTATCTTCTCTTTTTATATTGTAACGAAGTCCTCCATTCCAAAACAAATTGTCTCGCATGCAATGAACACATCATCGGTAAACAAAGAAAACTTCACATTAATTTTTTTCGATCCAAACTTTGGTATTAAAAACATAACAGATGAAATGTATCGTACCATAAATGATTATATTTTATTTTATGCTGATAAATCACAATTACTCTCATATGTACAATCGATTAATGAAGAAAAAATTTTTATTATCATTTTTGATCCTTCACTAGATATGAACTTTTTGTCTCAATTACAAAATTTGAACCAAATCAATTCAATTTTCATCTATTGTTTGAAACAAGACAATTATGAATGGTTAATGAATAATTATTCAAAAATAAGTGGTATATATACAGATAAAACATTATTACTAGAACAAGTACGAACAACAATTGCACAACAATCAACATTGACATTTGGTTTCAATGATCCCCAACAAATATTTACAACATACACAAAATTATCAAGAGAGAATGCTTTATTTCTTTGGAATGTATTACTGAAAGATCTACTGATGAAGGATCAATCAACAGATAAAAGTTCAATGATACAAAAATGCACAGAATATTATTGTAGAAATACAACAGAAATGGAAAATATTGAACAATTTGAAAAGACATATGAGTCAGCAAATGCGAATGAATGGTATTCGAAACGTTGTTTTGTTTCCAAACTGCTCAACAAAGCATTTCATACAGCCGATACGAAACAACTGAAATTATTTAACTTCTTTATTCATGATCTTTGTTCAAATATTAAATCATGTTCTTCCGTTGAAAAACTTTATTGTACAACAATAGTAGCAACAAATCAATTTGAAATGTTATTGAAAAATGTGGATAAATTAATAACATTAGTGGGTTTTTACTCATGAATTACTCACGTACTGAAACTATACCATGTAGAAGTGAAGCCCAAATTGTTGTTCTATTTGAAGTTGTGAATGTTTGTACACCATATGTTTATTCGAATAATACAAATGAAGTGATATTTGATATGGGCACTACATTTCAATTTAGTTCATTTGATTTCGATGATAATTTGAAATTATGGATTGCTCGTTTGACTGCAACCAATGATGGTACACAAATTTCGCAAAATTATATTATAGCAAAACAACAGACAATGGAAAGAATGACATTATCAATAATTATGGGAGAATTATTATTGACAATTGGCGATTTGTCTAAAACGAAAACATATTTCGAAAATTTACAAAATGAAGATGATGCACTCATCTATTATTACTATGGACGTATACATTATTTAAAAGGTGAATATGAATTAGCACTAGAAAATTTACAAATAGCATATGAATTAATGATAACTGAAGAACGTCTAAAGGATAGTGCGTTCGTTTTACATGACATTGGATATGTTTATGATATGAAAAAAGAGTTTAATGAAGCACTCGATAGTCATCGCAAAGCATTGAACATCAGACAAACACATTATTCTGCGAAGGATGTACAAATCGGCGTGAGTTTGTATAATATTGGTCGTACATTGGTTAATATGGATGATGATAGTGAAGGATTGATTTATCATCAAAAAGCATTAAACATATGGGAACAAACACTCACATATAACCATCCATACATGGTACAAAGTTTACATAGTCACGGCGCAGTTTACTTTAATAAACGAGATTATTCACAAGCATTACATTACTATACAAGAGCACTAAAATTGTATGAAATGAGCGTACCCCGTGATAATCATGGTATTTTAATGGTTAAAAATGCTTTGGAAAAAATCAATGATCTTAGTTCACGACAATTAATGACTCGATAACTAGTTGTGTATAACATTCGTCTGACGAATTTCGAAGTAACAGGTTTTTAAATCAGTCCATCCAATTTAAGTTACAGACGTACAATTAGCGCCCTATAAGAAGTGAATTTAATTAGTCGGCCATGTATTAAACTAATAGTGTTTTTTTGTGCCTCAGCAGGATAAATAAACAAGATATGAGGATTCAATGTGGTTTATATGTATCAGTGATCTCTAATTCATCTACTCTGTGTATTTGTCTACGAAGATCACTAATTGAATTAATTAACAGCATTGTTAAATAATACAATGAACTGTACTGTATTGGGTAACAAAGACTGAATAGAAAACATCCAGAATTATTTTCAGCAGAAAAATAATTATATTGACAAATTATGCGTGATGGTGTCAAATTTCGGAAGGTATTTGTTACATATAGAACCGTGACATCTGAAAGTTTGAGTTTGTTTCCTCCAAATGGAAGAAAGGAAGTCCTTATGTGAAGACTAAGAATAAAATCAACATAATACGTTCAACTTGTGACATTGTAAAATGTTGACTAATTCTACTTTCCGAGGCTAAGTATGCACCAGTTACAGTTTTTTGTTAGTTAACTGTATTTGTAAAGTATTGTAAAGTATTGCGCACTTTTCTATAGAAACTGGCAGAGATTAGTCATTTTTTCTGGACGATCACATCTAAGTGTTTTTATTGGGTAATCTAACAGTATGTATAACCAATGGCAACAAAACGTACCAACAAGTCCACGTTTTTTCTTTTTCTTTTTTTTATGGTGATGTTCTTTTTTTTCTGTTTAAAGCTTTCACTTGATCTGTCTTCTTTTCTTATTCATTTTGATTTCTTTAAATAGAACGCTTAAATCAACGTAACAACAAAAAAGTATCTACGTTGTTTTGTGACAAAAAAGTATTTTGAAATTTATATAGTTGTCTAGAACTCAGATATTGAGTTGCGCTATTTCATATTTACAATATAAAAATGGTTAAGAAAATATCTGACATCGTCGTTGAGCATGGTTGGGCGTGGTTCTCGTGCAGTTTTTCGTCGTGCAAATTTTCGGGAAAAATGGAAGGCGCTATTTCGAAAAATGAGATGAGTCATTTTGTTCGAAATTCGACGCTGATTCCTACCATATATTTGTTTTTCGAAAATAGCCTAGGATGAAAAATCGACTTACCTTCACTACTTCTTTAGATGAAGTTAAAGAACTTTTTCAGAAACGAGTGATCTTTGGTGATTTTCGTGGGGAATAACGCTTGCATATAGAAAAAAATATATACCGCACGGTTCTTTATGTGTTTATTCGGTTCGCCATAGTCGATAACCTCTGGCAAACAGCTCTTAGTTTTCTTATAATGATATGTAAAGAAAAAAATTTGAATAACTTGATTTGCACTTTTCTCGATATGCTTTTTTTCTTTTTTACATGTTCGTGCGTTCCAGATTTCTCTGCCGCATCAAATGCTAGAAAGCTCGGCAAGGTTTTAAAATGAGGCGCAGAATAGGCGTTACAACTTAGCAGCGCAAGAACTTTTATTTTTTCAGATAGCTTTTGAGAAAAATAACGTTTTCTGAGAATTTAGCCGTATTTTTTCCAGCTTCTTAAAAAATAGCTTTCGGAAAAAACAAACAAAACAATTATCAATAATCAATCAAGTTATAGCGCTAAGTTTTGGCTACATTTTGACACTATCCCGAAGGGTGTTTCATTAAAATTCCAGAAGAAATCTGCGGCGCAGGGACACCTACTTTTTGACCTTGAATGTTAAAATAACTCTTGGAAAATTCTGTACCTCCAGGAAATTTTTACTGTCAATTGTGTAAGATCAGATACACATTTTATGAAAATTCCATCATGATCGGATGTTCTGGGACAAAAATAGGTTTTTGACAGAGGAGGCCTTAAGAATGAAGGGACCAGTTGACATTGTACCACTATGATTTCCCTGCGCTACATTTCCTTCTCACAGTTCAATTACTGTACAAAATTAGCAACAAGTAACCAAAGAAATTCAATTTTACTTTTCTCCTACGTGACTGTTTATTGAATATCGAGTGTACACCGCGGCTCATTCAGCATACTCTCTATCTTTTTGACACTGGAAGTTTTTTCTAAGTGCCAGAGTTAGTGAGAAAATCGTTAAAAACTTTTTTGCCGGAAAACAGAGCAATGAAGATAAAAGAATCATTTTTAGCAAAACAGAATATGATAATAGGCATGTTACACTAGTAAGTTTGTCTAGGCTAAGTCCTCACACACTGAGCATATTCATTTGAAACGCAGGTCTCAAGGGTTTCTCAAGGTCTTCTTTCTTTTACTCTCTAGAAACTTCTCTTTTTTTAAATTTGATACAATACAGCAAAGATAAGTGATAGAGACTTGGTTCAAACGTGGTTAAATAGAGAATTAAAATGCGCCAAAACTGGATAGTTGACGATGTTCATGTATTACTTGATCAGGGTTTTCTAGGAGATCTTCAGAGAACCTTTTTTTAATTTTGCTTTAACCCTTTGGGGACGGGTGACGTTTTAAAACGTCATTAAAACGTCAAAAATCGGAATAAGTCGTGTTTTCCAAAACTTTCTTTTGAAGAAACGTCTCTCAAAACTAGATCATAATCAAATTTC